CCAGCCATTGGGCGCGGGACCCAGACGTCCTCGGCGCCCAGCCCCCTCTCCACGCCTCTCCGCGCGCAGCGCTCTCGGGACCGCACTTACCGGGAACTAGCCGCGCCGCGGCCGGACGCGCCGCGCTTCTGGGGAGCCGCGGAGAGCTCACTAGCGGCCCTGCCGCACCTAGATGAGGGCTTGGGGGCGTGCGGGTCTCCCCTTCTCCTTCTACCCGGCCGATCCCGCTGCAGTTTGGCCGTACCGGTCCGGGCACCTCCCTCCAGTGCCCCTTCGGTCCAGGACTAGACGAAGTAGGGGTGCGAGCAGATTTGAGGACCCCAAACTCAGGGTCAAAGGACAGTTTGCCCACCCCACCCCTCCTTTCTCTGGCGGGGCGGAGGAAGTGCAGGAATTCCAGCTAAGCCCGGTTTCTCCAGGGTCCCCGAGCCAGGGTCTCCAGAGCCTGGACGCTGAGGTCCGAAATTTCCTTTCCAACACCCTGAGGGTGTGACGGTGTGATCGAAGTCGGGAATACCAGCGACACTTTTATTTTAAAACAAAACTTTATTGGTAATAGTTTTCAAATATGTTTACAACAGCACACTGTTCAAGAGGAAGTCTCATCCTTCCAGCACACAGGTTGAACGGCCCCCCTCGCCCACCCGGGGCCCCCACCCAGGCCTGAGAGCTCCTCCTGTTTGGGAGAAGTTACAAGAGGGACAAACACAGGGATAACTGGGATAAGTTCCCCAGTCGCTCCCCACCTTTCTATTGAGAGAAAAGCACAATCAGACTTGGGGTGCAGTGAGTGGGGATGCACAGCAAGAGGTGATGGACAGCTGACAGCTAAGCTAGAAGTGAGGCGCCCAGGATCGGGAGGGGCTTCTTAAGGGGGCTGATGCGCGGAAGAATTGGCATGAGACCCCTGGAGAGGGGGGCCGGGAAGCTAGCAGCACAGGGCGAGGTTCAAAGCCCAGTTCCTTCCTTGACAAGAGTCAGTTGGCTACCCCGGCCTCATCAGAGTGGATTTGGGGAGTGGCGAGGGGGTTTGGGAGGGGTGGGACAGTTTGGAGGGTGGGAGGCACTGGTGGAACTTAATTTAAATGAAGATTAAAAAAAAAAAAGAAAAAAAAACCTAGCAAGCAGCCCTCTGTACATGTGATTAAAATCTCCCTTTCCAAGTAGGACTGCATGGAAGGGAAGGTTGGCTTTTCTGTTCATCCTTAGTGTCCAGTGCTGGGGTGGGGGTGGAGGCTGGGGCAAATCTGCGCCCCTCTTTCCATACCCTGCCCTTGGATACACCAGTAAGACTGAGAAATCCATTGAAAACAGGCAGAGAAGTGTGGGGGAGAAGGGGAGCAGCTGATGTTGCCCCTTCCCCATTATCTGGCTTTCCTGCTCTCCCTAACCTGGGGGTGTGGAGTGGGTGTTAATTTAGATGCATGGAACTCTAGGGCCCGCTGGCTGTTCGATCCAACCCTCCCACCCCCAACCAGAAAAAAAAAAAAAAAAGAAAGAAAAAGAATGAAAGAAAACCCACGGGGCACAAGCACACCCCTAAAACTCAGTAAACTCCTTGCCACATTTCTCATTGATGGAGACCCGGATCTCTTCCTCCTCATAGTCGTCAAAGTTACTCGTGTCCCCAGGGCCTTTAAACTTTGGTATGAAGGGAGCTTCCACCTGGAGAGGGATCAAGAATCACCCAGAGCTCATTAGCTGACCTCACACCAGTATAACAATAAAGATGAATGGCATAATAATCAGGAGACTCTGCTGTGGTCCAGGCCTGTGTTCAACGTTAGGGTACTGTGTCTTCTTTGCAACCCAACTTACCAAATGGAAGTCATTTCCCTGAGAATATTTCCTGCCCAAGACCATAAAGTGGCCAGAAGACCCCAGCATCCCATGTCCAGTCCCTTACCAGCTCCAGGAAGCCATTCACAAGATCCTATCGCTGCCTCCTTCCCTTTCCCCAACTCTGGACATGCTGGGAAAATGAAACCCACCTTCCTCTGATAGATGGCAATCCAGTCAGTCGTGGCAAACCACTTGTGGTTCTTAATGTCATTGACCCCATTCTTGAGGTTCCCAAAGCGCTTGGTAAGATCCACCTGCAGAAGGTTCCGTAGCAGGTCCTTCAAGTCGGAGCTGAAGTGGGATGGGAACCGCACCTGGAAAGGGGTGCAGATAGAATGGGGTGCTGCTCACAGATTCAGGGGTACAGAATGTTAACCTTTTTCACTTTTTGAGACAGTATCCTGACACACACACCCCACGCATGCACAGGATATCTCTGAGTAGCCATGGCTTCTGAGTAGGCCTGGCTGTTCTGGAACTCGATCTGCAGACCAGGCTGCCTTGAACTCAGAGATCTACCTGCATCTGCCTCCCCAGTGCTGGGATTAAATCTGTGCTCCACCACACCATGCACCACAGGATCTTAATGTGTAGCTAAGCTGGCCTTGAACATCGGATGGTGGGATCGCGTCTCCTAGCCTCCTGAGTGTGAGAACTTCAGGTGTTTATCACTAGACTCTGGTTGGATGGTACCTGTCTTATCTCACAGTCCTACAGGGGAAAGTCTGTTAAAATGGCTTGTTGGAGCGTGGTGGCACTTGCTTATAATCCCAGCACTCAGGCAGAGGCAGGCGGATCTTTGTGATTGAGTTACTTAAGGCCAGCCTGATCTACATGATAAGTTCCAAACCAGCAAAGGCTACATAAAACCATGCCTCAAAAGAAAGAAAGGAATAAAAAAAAAGAAGGCTCACTGTTGGACCAATGGATGGCTCTGCTCTTGGAGAGGACCTGGGTTTGATTCCCAGTACCCACATGGTGACTCACAACCACCTGTAACTCTAGCCTCAGGGGATCCAATGCCTGTGGCCTACAAGGGTACCTACACTATATGTACATACCTACAGACACACAAATATACACATAATTGAAAAACTAAAGTAAGTAAAGTATAAACAGAAATGGCTTGTTGGAGCTAGCCTACTGCGTTGTAGCATCTGTAGTTCACTGCACATAGTACTCTGCCTTTAGGCCCTAGCAGCCATGCAAACAAAAAAACATTTAGATGCTGAGTCCCCTCTGAGTTTGCTGGCTTAGGAACTATGGGCAAGGTCTGAGAATCCACTACCCCAAGGTCACAGGAAACAGAACTGTAGGAGGTTTATCTCATGTCTGAAGGCTTATATCCTCATCTAAGATTCTTCAGCCAGCTCTGCTGGAGTCTGAGGGCTTCTGAAGTAAGGATATTTCCTTTCTCACTCTGCATTCCTTCGGGGCCAGTTCTTCCGGCCATCCACTTACAGAGGCTCTGCACATCCCTGTACAGCTTCTGGATTTATACCCGTAAGAACTGACTTCCAGGTCTAGAGAGATGGCTCAGTGGCTAAGAGGTCCTGAGTTCAATTCCCAGCAACCACATGGTGGCTCACAACCATCTGTAATGAGATCTGCTGCCCTCTGCTGACCTGCAGGATACATGCAGACAGAATATTGTATACATAGGGAGGGGAGTGGAGAAAAATGTATAGCTCAATAAAAAACAAACAAAGAAAACACCTGACTTCCAGGAGCCAAGGGTGCTGGCACAAGCTTGTCATTCCTGCACTTTGGGGGCTAATGCAGGAAGGTTGAGTGCCAGGGATACATAGTGAGACCCTGCTGTAAAAGAAACAAAACGAGCAGGGTGGTCGTGGCGCACACCTTTAATCCCAGCACTTGGGAGGCAGAGGCAGCCAGATCTCTGTGAGTTTGAGGCTAGCCTGGTAAAGGTACTTGTTGCCAAGCCTGATAATCTGAGCTTGATACCCAAGGCGCACATGGTGGGAGGAGAGAACCTGATTCCTGAAAGCTGTCCTTGACTCACAGAGGGACACTGACACAGGGGCGCAGGCACAATGAACAGATGTAAACAAACTGAAGGAAAAAAGCAGAGAAAGGAGGAAAAGAAAGGAGAAGGAGGAAAGGAAGAAAGGGAAGGCAGAGTAGCAAGAGAAGCAGACCCAAAGGAAGAAAAGAAAGACAAAAGAAACCAACTGGTCCCTGCTACTCCTTTCACGGGCTGTGTGACCTTGGCCAGGGTCCTTAACCTCTCCAGGCCTGCACCGGCCACGTCCCAGGGTTCTGTGTGGTGAGATAACGCGATCAAGGCCCGTGGGAACTGTAAATTGCTACAAAGAAGGGGATTATGCTCAGCCGTGTGCA